GCTGATAGTACAGAGCTCTAGGAGTCACTCTGTACATGCTCAGTTTGGTGTGTGTTGTTGGAGTTTCTTTTCCTTTTGGGAGGGTTCATGTGATCAGAACAGGCCCAATCAGCACTGTCCACACAGAGGGTCAGGGGGTTTTGCAGCCTCATAGGAAAGTCAGAAGATAATAAAAACTCCTAAAAGCTTTAACCAGTGCTCGGCCAGACACTGATAGAAGCCACAAGACTGCTATATACCACTGATGAGGTATTTTTTATATATTAAAAATATATTTATATATAATAGTTAATATTTACTAAAATAATTGCATTTCCATGTTGTGTTCTGTGGGAGAACCGATATAATGAATGCAGGGTCCTGGGTTTAGTAACACTTTACAAGTTGTTGAATTTTAAAGCTATTTTTTTCTCTTTTATCTTTAGAAGTTTACGATTGCTAGCATACTCTACAACATTCTGTGAGGAAGCTAGTACAAAGGTGTAGTTTGAACTAAATTTTAAATTAGAGAGTCACACCAAGTGTTTAAAGTTCTGAAGGTGCCCTTAGTTACCAGATTCCTGTTACCTAAAACTTACTGCTTCAACGGGATCAGAGAGCAATTGGGAATCATCTAGATGCTCCAAAAATAAGCCTGGCATAAACCTCTTAATTATAGCAAGTGAGGCTCCTGAAATCAAACATTCTAGTCTGGATTTTTCTGTATTCTGCAGGGGATAATGAGCACCTCTGTTGGTTGGAGATGCTCATTTTTACACAGGTAGATGTACCAGCTTGTTATAAAAATCTTTCTGTGAATGGGGCTGATTTTCTCTTGGAGAAGTGTCAAGAATCAAAATTTCCATGTGTGCACAACTGTCACTTTTGGACAAGTATCACAGTAAGTCTTAACACTGGAACAATAATTCAGGAACAGGCTGTATATGGCAACTTTAACCACTTGACCACTGGAAAGTTTTACCCCCTTCATGGCGAAGGCATTTTATGCTATTCAGCACTATGCTGCTTTAACTGACAATTGCTCAGGCGTGCAGCACTGTACCCAAATGTAATATTATTTTTTCCACACAAATAGTCTTCCTTTTGGTGCTATTTAATCACCACTGGGTTTTTAGATGAAAAAAGACCAAAATGTTTGAAAAAAAAAACTCTACGTTTTTCTTAGTTTCTGTTATAAAACTTTGTCAGTACATCAAGATTGATAAATGTTATTATAAAGATTGTTTACAGTCTATTTCTTGAGGCTATAAAATGTTAGAACAGTACAAATACCCCCAAATGACCCTTTTTGGAAAGTTCGGGGTATTTAGTAAGAGGCATCACAAGTTTTTGGAAATTGTAATTTTTTTATCACAATGTTTTTGGAAGATGAAGAAAATAAATATTTTGTTTTTTTTCACAATTTATTTTATATACTGTCACAACAGCAGTACAGTGTCGTCATATGACTGGTGTGGTAGTGATCAGGGATACTGACTGGAGCCAGTATATATAAAAAATTTTTTTATATATATATATATATATATATATAAATATATATATTTCAATTCTTTAATAGATTTAAACCATTTTTTCCTTTTTTTTTTTTTTTTTTTTTTCTTCTTTCTTTTTTTTATTATGCTTTTATCAGAGTAGTTCAGTGTCACCATAGTGATGATCACTGTTATAAGCAATAGTTAACTGTCATGAATGACTTTCCAATCATGACTGCTTGCTTACTGTTGACATGCTGTGAATCGCTACAGCTAATCACATGGTACAGGGTGCCAGGTACCATGTGATAGCTGTGGGCCTATCACAGCTTTACAACAGTAAGCAAGCAGTCATGAATGGAAGCCTTTCATGACTGTTTTGTGTATATTGTAATCGTGATTGCTATGATTGATCATAGTAATCACATGATACCCCAGCTGCTCAAAGCGCCATGATCCACTGTGTTCATTGGACACAGTGGTCATGGGATCGTGCCGATGCACTTCCCAGGGGGTGCATCCCCAGTGCGCATGTGCCCAGCATTGTACTAGTACGCCACTGTGCCTGTAGCTGCCACCTGCATGCAGTACTTTTACTGTGAGTGGGTCAGCAAGTGGTTAAGTGACTGTTCTTTTAACTTTAGACATCTGGCTGGGCAGAATCAGTGTACAGAAGTTCCACAATGCAAAAAAAAAAAAAAGTACCAGGAATTCACCAAATCTCTCTTTTGATCCCAATAGAAATCCTCTAAATGTACAACTCAATATATGCTATGCACTGATCATGTTTTGAAGCTGGGCAAAAGTATACTGTATACAAACAAAGAGACTGGAATTTCATTTATTTTTGTGGTATTGCTATATACTATTATACAGTTGTGTCCAAAATTATTCAACCCCAATGCTGTAAAGGGGTTTAGGGACTATAGTGTACATTTGGAATTGTATTCAGAATCACCATCCTACAAGGACGTTGTAACTACCCAAATGCAACTAAAATGACATCAATTGTTTATGTAATACAGTAGTAAATGGTTCTTATGTGGTTTCTTCATTGCCACAAATTCAACCCCTTAAAGACTAATTCACTCTGAAGAACAGAGGTTCATACAGGTGCTTTCCATCAGGTATTGAAAACACCTGTGGATGTCACCGAGCAGCAATCAAGCATAATAAGCACCATTAGGCAGCTTTAAAATGACTGTGATACTCAGCTCCTTCTAGACATTTACTGTGTGGTTACAAACATGGTGAAGCAAGAGAATGGTCCAGGAAGACAAGAGAAGAGGTGATTCTCTTCACAGGAAGGGCAATGGCTATAAGAAGATTGCCATAACCATACACCTAGGGCCCTGTTTCAATTCATCCCCCATTGCAAAGTAATTCATACCCATATAGTAATTCATCGCCCCATATAGTAACTGTCAAACCCCTACCTGGTCGTGGCAGAAAGAAGATGCTGACTTCGACTGCTGTGCGCTACCTGAAGCGTAGAGTGGAGAGAAGTCCCCGTGTGACTGCTGAGGAACTAGAGAAAATTTGTCAGATATACAGAAGTTTCAGCCCAGACATATAGCACACTGCGTAATGAAGGCCTCCGTGCCAGTAACTCCCAGGCGTACCCCCTTGCTGTCTCCAAAGAATAAGAAGAGTCGACTGCAGTATGCCAAAAGCCATGTGGACAAACCACAAAAGTTGTGGGATAGTGTTCTGTGGACTGATGAAACAAAATTAGAACTGTTTGGGCCCCAACGCATATAGTGGAGGAGGAAGAACAAGGCCTATGATGAAAAGATCCCTTGCCTATAGTGAAGCATGGTGGAGTGTCAATCATGCTTTGGGGCTGTTTTGCTCTGCAGCGTACAGGGAAGCTCAGCGTGTGCAAGGTCCCGAATTCTCTTCGTACCAGGTCTATCAGGGAAACGTGATGCAGTCCGTCACACACACCTGAGGCTTGGGAGACGTTGGACGTTTCAACGGACAATGATCCCAAGCATACTCCAAGTCCACTAGAGCATGGTTGCAGAGGAAAGGCTGGACTTTTGGGAGTGGCCATCGCAGTCACCAGCTTAGACTTAGAAGGAATCCGATTGAGAACCTCTGGTGGGAAAGCAGTTGCAGTGCGCAAGCCTAAGAATGTGACTGCGGCCGGCCTTTGCCCATGAAGGGGCGAAGGGAGGGGAGCTGCAAGACACTTGTGTCAAGCTATGCTTCCGTTTAAAAGCCCGTTATAACTGTAGAGGAGGCTGTACTAGGGGACTAAGATTGAATGTCACTTGGGGGCGGAATAAAACTGATAATGCTGTGAGCAGGAAAAGAGGGAGGGGTTATTTCATTATAACGGTTATGTTATATTTGTCTGACCTACAGAAGTGCCGCTTTAATTGTAAATGAGCCAAGATGACTGAATGATCAAAAGCCGCAAACTTGCCGAAAACACTCAATTTCAGTGGGGGTTGAATAATTTTGGACACAACTGTATATATATGACATTTTGTTTACATTGTGGATAGAGTTTCTTAGGCTGGGAATCTCAGTACTTTATGTGAGGAAAGTTTCCCATTGAAAACCTAGGATGAATACTGTTTCCCTCATTTATGAGAGTTGGCTAAAATGGGTCTTTTTAAAGAGAATGAATATGTCAAATAAGACATGTTATGTTAGTTTGAATTAGTTAGTTTAGTTAGTTTTTCCCACTGTACATATTTAACCTGTTTGTGCCAGCCGTGCGCATATATGCAGCCTGTCGGCGGTTGAGTCTTGACGCTGAGAGGCCGCATATATGCGTACCAAAATGTAAACAAAGCTGTTCCAAGAATGTGTGCCGAGCGCACTCGCGACACACTTGCACCTAACAGAAAGCTCCAGATCGCTATTTGCTATCAGGAGCTTTCTGATCATGTGACCGCTGTGACAGCCAATCACGGTGATCACATGATCATAAACCCCACCGCATCAGAAACCCCTTAAAGGACCCGGAGGCGCTGGCGTTAAGGGGCAAAGCCTCCCTAGTAGATGCACCCAATTTTCAGGAAATTTTCTTAAAAAAATTTTTTAATAGTCATTACCAGCAGACCAAAGGCAAACTTGCATACATCAAAATATACAACATTACCATGTTCTCCATACTCTTTCATACAGTGCATTTCAAATTTTCATGGTGGATGCAGTTTGGCCCAGCTGCAAATAGCAGAGCTTCAGGATGAAGTGTAAATGTTTAGTGCTCTCAAAGTTGACATTTCATGTTTGGATGGGCATGGGCTGATCAAATCACCTGCCAGGTGTTCGCATCTACCACATCAATCAAAAGATATGTAACAGAAGGTAGAAATAAAAGACCTCTTTTTGTTATAATTTGGTATAATGTACAAAATAGGTAAGAAAGCAGCTTACATATCCTCCTATTAGAGATTGATATTTTACCATGTGTACAGGGAAAACATGCTCTTCGTTTTGTTGTTTTCAAAGGGACAAAGGGATGTAAGTTATTTCTGTGATTTTTCAGCGCTCACTATATTTCTTCTGCAGATAAGAATGGATGGAGTGTCAACTCCTCTCAGAGGCCTCGTGGAGCAACTGGAAGAGACTGCCCCTTCTGTGCCAAATCATTTCGTTCTTCCCATCATCTAAAGGTGCATTTGCGAGTTCACACAGGTAAGCAAGCAGCCAAGCTTTTCAGTTGTATTCATTTTTATTAACGCAGTATATACTTTTTTCATTTTCTATTAGATAAATTGCATTTCATATAAAATATAGCTGAAAATGCATTATTTTCTACATTTAGTGCCTTACCACTGGACATAAGTGAACCGATTTGCATTGAGTGGATTGGCTGAATCTGATCCTTTCCGCAGTATTGTGGATAAATATGTGAATGCATATTCTTTCTATCATCTAGTTATTCTGCTGTTTATGAATCTTAATTTCCTGGATTTCTGAAGTGCAGTATTTATTGCAGATTGGAAAAATCTGTGTGGAAGAATCCAGAAATAGGGAAGCAGCGTGATTCTCCAGAAAGCATTCCATCTGCTTGATTGGTTGATCAGATTACTCCTCTCTCTTCACTATTGTGTTTCTCCATTGCGGTTCATGTATTCCTCATTTTTCTATGTTTGACTGTTCTCTTTTGTATTCTTCTACACAGGAGAGCGACCTTATAAATGCCCTCATTGCTCCTATGCTGGCACTCAGTCTGGGTCTTTGAAATATCACTTACAACGACATCATCGGGACTCCAAACTTTCTTCAGGTGTCCCTTTAAGGGGTAAGAGTATTCAGCAAGGTGCATCCCAGCAAGAGCGGCTGCTTCCTGCTGTGTCTTCTACCTGGGGAAGTTCTTGCCCTGATCTGCCTACCCCCTGCGAAGATGGGACTACCTTGCCACTCCGTCTCCACTTGAGTGAGGGCCAGGGTCCCAGTGCATTTCCCCGAATGCCTAGCAGAGGTGGCCAAAGGAGAAGGAGTCCCTCACATCAGCCAACAAATGGAAGACCAGAGCATGAGCCCTTGGATTTGTCACAAGGAAACCCTTTCCACCGCTGCATGTACTGTCCATTCGTCACCTCTGTGGGAGAGCTAATGAGTCTCCATCTCCAAGTACACCATGGGAGAAGATCACGTAGAAAGGGGGGCTACATTAGAGGAAGACCAAGACCTGTGTTCTCCCCCCAATCCCAAGGCCCAAGAGACAGCCCAGAACCATGTGAAAGCACTGAGTGAACAGAGCACTGAAGGGCAGATGGTATCAGAAGTGCCCTTTGACTGCCCAAAATCCATGATCCACATAAAAAGAGAGAAGAAAAGATTAAGACTGCTGAAAGATGGTGGGTAGATAGAGAAGATGAAGGATTGTGCTGGGTAGAGTGAAAAGAAGGTTAGGAGCTGAAAAGGAGTCATTAATTTGGGTAGAACATGTGAGTGTTTCTATACCAGCTAGGGTTGGGTAGAATGTGCCAGAGACAGATAGGAGGGGGGCAGAATGTGAGAAGTTCATGGAGGAACCTGTAGAAGAAAGCTGTGTTGGAGGGATAATTGATGTCTTGGAAAAAGACATTGACACCGTTTCTCAGGAGAGACAGTCATTGGCGGAGAGAAACAAAGGGACAACATTTCAAGATATAGCTAGGAGACTGGCAGGGTAACAGAGGTAATGAGATGGTAGACTTATGGAAAAGATTGAGAATAACGCACTGTAAACGCTATAGCGAAAAAGTCAGAGAGAGCACTTTTCACTAATGTGACAGAATGCTTGCAACATATCTGAGACAAAAGAAACAGCTAGCAATAGGAACACAGAATGGTAGTACTAGGTTGAAAGAAACTAGAGGTAGGGTTATAAAAAAAAAAGAAAAAAAAAAAGAATAAAATAGAAGCATTAGTAACAATGATTATTTTGCCCAAAATTCCCCTCTGGTTTCTGTTTATTGCTGAGACTTTATTTTTTATAATTTGGATTGTTATTCAGACCCATCTGCAGGTAGATACCCCTAAACACCCTTTTTCCACATTCCTTCATTATTTAGGTTTGTGCTCAAAAAATACATTTCCACGTTTAGAGATTTCTATATTTTTTTTATTCTTTTCTTGTAGAAAAATAAATAAATCTTTAAAAAAATAAAATCTTTTGATGTAACAATGTGGCTTTAACCATCACAAAAGATACATGAATTCCAGAACAACATTGTACATAAAATCTGCAGATACCGCTATGCACTCTTCATTCTACACTACAGTAAATACTACTTGATACTGCCCCTGCTTTATATATTTTGTTGTGTTTGTTCATGTCATAGAAGAGCAGGTAGTCATAGGTAAAGACAAATTCCAGCATTAGACTAGATGCTGCAACAGTGTCTACAGTCAAATATTAAGTCCGCGCCTGAGGAATTCTAAAAATTATTTTGAGTTGCTAGATAAAAACTACCCACCTGGGTAGGTGGAATCTATATAGTGTGAATATAGCGCTAAAAAAAATGTCCACAGATTTTTAAAGTTCAATTCCACAATGACAGGAAACATTTGATGTTGAAATTGCTATGTTCTCCTTATGCTGTCACGATGAAGCTGATCAAGCCCTTCAGTCTATGCATATGTGTCTTCCCGAAAAATATGACTCCAACGTGTCTCTCTCACCATGTAAAAAATATGAATCGTATATAGTGTGATATCTTGCAGTATGTTAATTAAATTAATCATGCTCACATGAAATTAATAATAATGTACCAAATTTATCCACCACATGAAAAAAACCCCCGATGTCCATCACCTCTACCCTTACCCTCAGTCCAAGTACAGTCAGGTCCATAAATATTGGGACGTCGACACAATTCTAACATTTTTGGCTCTATACACCACCACAATGGATTTGAAATGAAATGAACAAGATGTGCTTTAACTGCAGACTGTCAGCTTTAATTTGAGGGTATTTACATCCAAATCAGGTGAATGGTGTAGGAATTACAACAGTTTGCATATGTGCCTCCCACTTGTTAAGGGACCAAAAGTAATGGGACAGAATAATAATCATAAATCAAACTTTCACTTTTTAATACTTGGTTGCAAATCCTTTGCAGTCAATTACAGCCTGAAGTCTGGAAAGCATAGACATCACCAGACGCTGGGTTTCAACCCTGGTGATGCTCTGCCAGGCCTCTACTGCAACTGTCTTCAGTTCCTGCTTGTTCTTGGGGCATTTTCCCTTCAGTTTTGTCTTCAGCAAGTGAAATGCATGCTCAATTGGATTCAGGTCAGGTGATTGACTTGGCCATTGCATAACATTCCACTTCTTTCCCTTAAAAAACTCTTTGGTTGCTTTTGCAGTATGCTTTGGGTCATTGTCCATCTGTACTGTGAAGCGGCGTCCAATGAGTTGTGAAGCATTTGGCTGAATATGAGCAGATATTGCCTGAAACACTTCAGAACTCATCCTGCTGCTTTTGTCAGCAGTCACATCATCAATAAATGCAAGAGAACCAGTTCCATTGGCAGCCATACATGCCCACGCCATGACACTACCACCACCATGCTTCACTGATGAGGTGGTATGCTTAGGATCATGAGCAGTTCCTTTCCTTCTCCATACTCTTCTCTTCCCATTACTCTGGTACAAGTTGATCTTGGTCTCATCTGTCCATAGGATGTTGTTCCAGAACTGTGAAGGCTTTTTTAGATGTTGTTTGGCAAACTCTAATCTGGCCTTCCTGTTTTTGAGGCTCACCAATGGTTTACATCTTGTGGTGAACCCTCTGTATTCACTCTGGTGAAGTCTTCTCTTGATTGTTGACTTTGACACACATACACCTACCTCCTGGAGAGTGTTCTTGATCTGGCCAACTGTTGTGAAGGGTGTTTTCTTCACCAGGGAAAGAATTCTTCTGTCATCCACCACAGTTGTTTTCCGTGGTCTTCCGGGTCTTTTGGTGTTGCTGAGCTCAGCGGTGCGTTCCTTCTTTTTAAGAATGTTCCAAACAGTTGTTTTTCCATGCCTAATGTTTTTGCTATCTCTCTGATGGGGTTGTTTTGTTTTTTTCAGCCTAATGATGGCTTGCTTCACTGATAGTGACAGCTCTTTGGATCTCATCTTGAGAGTTGACAGCAACAGATTCCAAATGCAAATAGCACACTTGAAATGAACTCTGGACCTTTTTATCTGCTCATTGTAATTGGGATAATAAGGGAATAACACACACCTGGCCATGGAACAGCTGAAAAGCCAATTGTCCCATTACTTTTGGTCCCTTAACAAGTGGGAGGCACAAAAGCAAACTGTTGTAATTCCTACACTGTTCACCTGATTTGGATGTAAATACCCTCAAATTAAAGCTGACAGTCTGCAGTTAAAGCACATCTTGTTTGTTTCATTTCAAATCCATTGTGGTGGTGTATAGAGCCAAAAATGTTAGAATTGTGTCGATGTCCCAATATTTATGGACTTGACTGTACTTCTTGCATCTATGCTTATTATTCTTTCATCATTCTTCAATTTTTATCTTCTTTCCACATAAGCTCCCTGCAAAAGAAATCACTCATATAGTGTAGTATCGTTATATAAAATGAAATCCAGTGCTTTTGCATATATAAAGAACAGGAAGTGTGCTGGAGCCGCTCGAGGCTGGCAGCAAATAGTAATCGCCCTGCTGGCAGAGAGAAGAGGGAGCAGCGTCCCAAGTAACTCCAGAGACTCAGTAATGTGTATAAAGATGAATGCCGCTTAGACCGATCCCCAGGAGTCAGAGAGGAACAGTGTGTAATGAGTGGCCTCAGCCATCACTCTGGCCATGCCCTCTGACGCATTTTGTCCGTCCATAGGGGGCTTGGTCACAGAGGCTTAAAGAACAGACAGCCAAAGAGCTATATGTAGCATAATTGGCCGTGAAAACAGGTGTGTGGGCAGGTGATATGGGAAAAATAATAAGGAAAGGATGGTGAAAGACCTTAAGAAAAAAAATATATGTTTGGCATGAGAAAAGAATGAGATCACTGAAAAAAAACAAGGGGGAAAAAATAAGTATAAAAAAAGGGAACAAGAAAAGGAAAAAAAATAAGAAAAATTAAATAGATTGAAAAAAAAGTAAAAATTAGAGAAAAAAAATAAAGTAAATGGAAAATAAAAAAAACAATAAAAAAAGAACAATAGAATAAAAATTAAAGAAATTGAAAAAAAAAATAGAGGAGGAAAAAAATTTAAATGGAGAAATTG